TTATTGATCAGCTCTCATGAAATTGGTACGACATTACGTCAAGGGATTATTCTTACCAGTCTGTTTGCACACTGGCACTCACAAGCTTCACTTAATACCCTTGTGCATTATGCAGTGTCAGTTCATACTGACTCAGTTGGTAGCACTCTCAGCTCTGAGTCAGAAGTTTGTGAGTTCAAGCCATACATTGGGGACTTTGAGCTCCCTATCTAGGCTATCGTTCCACTCCAGTACTGGGTGGGGGGAGGGGCGGTTCAGGAAAACAACATAGTTGAAGTTAAGATACTTTGATGATATAAGCAATATGTTTTCTATGGAGTTAATGGAAACCTCACTCAAAGTAGAGTCTGAGCAGAGGCAGAGTTGGGAAATCTGGGCAATTGAACACAGTCTAACAGGTTAGCTCATAGTTTGCTAAATGGCAGAGCATAGTCCAGAACCCAACAGTGCTATAATATTTTTTGTTACAAGACATGAGTTTCAAGTTCATTATTATACAAGAGAGCTTGCACAGCGAGTTGACTTTCAACGATTTGTCTGTGATACATAACTTTTACGAACACACAGCAGTGGCACCATCAAATTGTAGTTTTTATGGCAGTCCCTGGAAACTGGCATGGTGGTGTTGACGTAATCAAGGCAACAAACAACAGATGCCTGACAGCCAATGCTTCTGTTTCTGGATACATAATTGCTGAAGAATGCAGTACAATATAAATATACAGAGTCATAGCTAGGGCCACCAGGCATGCTCATTTGCAATAAAACTAGAAATTTGCATAGAAGCGAAAGGACGGATCAAGAGCTTCACTTGAAAAAATTGTGCTTGAGGCAGTTTATGTGCTTCCTAATTACAATTGTTGGTGTGACTGATAAATTGAGGAATTTAGCAATGTTATGAATTAGGGCAGTAAAGTGGAATTAAATTGCATCTATTGTGCAGTTTATGAAGGTGCAATTCAAAATTTAAAATGGAATCCTCCCTAAATAAATATTGTGGACTATTGATTGTGCATTACTACCATGCTTTGTATTGTGCTCTTATGCAGCAATAAGTTCTTTTGAGATTTTTTTCCCCCACACTCAAAAAACAATTGTCATATTACACTGGTATCCTAGCACTGGTGAAATGCAGTATCCCAGCAACTAAAACATATTTCTGTGCAGCTGATCTTCCTGTTAAGTGGTGTGATACCTAAGGACTTTTGTGCGATGTGATCACTTAATCTGATCACATCACACAAACTCGACCACTCAATGAGCTGTGCATTAGCACAGCTGATCACCTGAGTGTCGAGTGGAGCTGGTAACCATGTGGTCACTGGGGGACAAAGAAAAAAATGGAATTCCTTACGGGATTTGGAATTATTCAAACACATAAGGACTCGAATGAAGACGAAGGGCGTGCTAATTTTCAAGGAATCATAAATGAGAAAGTAAGTGGAATGATGAGTAACTTTTAATAGAAACAGCAAGATTCTTGAGCAGAGAGTCCAGCAGCATATGTGAGGACCAGGATCTTGAACTGGATCCTCTGAAGGATAGGGAGCCAATGGAGTCGGGCGAGAATGGGGGAGATGGGGTCACAGAGTTTGGTCTGGGAGAGGACACGGGCTGCAGAGTTCTGGATTATCTGCAGCCTGTGGAGGGAGGAGTTGGGAAGGCAGACAAGCAGAGCGTTTGCATAGTTGAGCCTGGAGGTGATGAAGGCATGAACAAGAGTTTCAGAGGCCTGAGGGGTAAGGGAGTGGCAGAGTCGGGCGATGTTACGGAGGTGAGCGGGTCATAGCTTGAATGTGGGGGAGAAAAAAACAGTTGAGGGTCGAACAAGACACCCAGGTTCCTGACTGGCTTGGTGAGTTGAAGTGTGCAGCCATGGAGGTTGATGCTACCAGAGCCTGAGGCACTGGCGCAAGCCAATCAGGAGGGCCTCAGTCTTGTTCACATTCAACTGTAGGAAATTTGCCCTCATCCAGGACTTGATTGAAGATACAGTTACAGCCCTGGAAAGGGACGATGTGCTAAAGGGTCCAAAACCAGAATCTATTTGGATAGAGTTAAGGAGCAGAAAAGGAACTGTTATTCTGTTGGGTGAACACGATAGACCACCAAATAGTGGGAAGGAGATAGACGAGCAAATCTGCAAGCAGATTTCAGAAAGATGCAAAAACAGTAGTGGACTTCAATTATCCTAACATAGACTGGCAAAACAACAGTGTAAAGGGCAAGGAGGGGGACAGAATTCCTGAAATGTGTGCAGGATAACTTTCTGGATCAGTATGTTTCCAGCCCAACGGGGAAGGAAGCAGTGCTGGATCTAATTCTGGGGAATTAAATGGGGCAAGTGGAGCAGGTTTCAGTAGGAGAGCACCTGGACAACAGTGGTCACAATATCATTAGGTATAGAGTACGTATGGAATGGGACAAGGAACAATCAAAGGTGAAGATACTCAACTGGTTCATGATAAATGTCAGGTCAGAAGATAATCAAATAGAATATAGAAAGTACAGAGAAGAACTTAAAAAGGAATAACAACAAGAGGATTACATTTGTATAGCGCATTTCACGTCAGGAGGACGTCCCAGGGCGCAGGACAGAGTACAGCATTTCAATAAGAGGGGCAAAGAAATTGTATGAGAAAAGATTAGCGTGTAACATAAAAGGGAACCCTAAGGTATTTTATAAATTTTCACTTAGAAAAATATGCATTCATAAAGGACAGTCAACATGGGCTTGTTAAAGGCAAATTGTGTCTAACAAACCTGATAAGAGTTTTTTTATGAAGTAATGGAGAGGGTGGATGAAGATAGTGCTGTTGATGCTGTTTATATGGATTTTAAAAGGCGTTTGATAAGTGCCAAAAGAGACTTGTAAGCAAAATAGAAGCCCATGGTATTAAAGGGATACAGAACTGGCTGGAAGACAAAAAAGCAGAGAGTGGTGGTGAATAGTTGTTTTTCTGACTGGAGGGAAGTGTGCAGTAATGTTCCCCAGGGGTCAGTATTAGGACCACTGCTATTTTTGATCTATATAAATGACCTGGACTTGGGTATATAGGGAGTAAAATTTCCATGTTCGCAGATGATACTAAGCTAGGAAAAGTAGCAAACAGTGAGGAGGATAGTAGCAGATTGCAAGAGGACATAGACACATAGACAGACTGGTAAAATGGGCAGTCACGTGGTAGATGACGTTTAATGTGGAGAAATGCGAAGTGATGCATTTTGGAAGGAACAATGAGGAGAGGCAATATAAGCTGATGGTAGAATCTTAAAGGGGGTGAAAGAAAGAGAGACCTGGGGGTTAATATAAGTAAATCTTTGAAGGTAGCAGGACAGGTAACAAAACATACGGGATGCTAGGCTTTATAAATAGGGGCATAGAATTACAAAAGTCAGGAAGTTATGATGAACCTTTATAAAACACTGGTTAGGCCTCAGCTAGTGTACTGTGATTAGTTCTGGGCACCACACTTTAGGAAGGATGTCAAGCCATTGGAACGGGTACAAAGGAGATTTACCAGGATGGTACCAGGAATGAGGGAGAGGCTAGAGAAGATAGGATTATTCTCTTTGGAGCAGAGAAGGTTAAGAGGAGACTTAATAGAAGTTTTCAAAATTATGAGGGGATTCGATAGGGCGAACAAGAAGAAACTATTTCCACTGGCGGGTGTATTGGTAACCCGAGGGCACCGATTTAAAATAGTTGTTAAAAGAAACAGAAGAGAGGTGAGGATAAATCTTTTTCACACAAAGTTATTTGGATCTGGAATGCATTGCCTGAAAGGGTGGTAGAAACCGATTCGATAACAACTTTTAAGAGTGAAGCAGATAATTATTTGGGGAGGACAAGTTTACAGGGCTATGGGGAGAGCGCGGGGGAGTGGGATTGATTTGGATAGCTCTTTTCTCAGAACCAGTACAGACACGATAAGCCAAATGGCCTCCTTCTGTGCTCTATGATTCTATGATAAATTGTTGGAGCCAGCAGAGTTCCTCTAGCTGTATATTACCTAGGAATTTAGTAGTGAGACTCAGGTGATGGAAAATGTGTGTGTGGGGGGTGGGGGTGCTTTCAATATTAACTACTTTAACTTTGAACATGTGGCTGGGCAAAAGTACAGGTTTTCTTAATGCACAGTTTTTTCTTATTTACCTTTTAGAATCAAGGAATATGTAAGCAGCTCTTTACTTCAGGAGACAAAGTGGATGTGTATCTGTTAGTCTGGGATTTTCTGAATGATTTCCAGAAGAACCAGGCTTGTCATGTTGAGTGATTTTCATGTTCCTAATTTTGCAGGTCAGTACAAAAGTGCCTAAGAACAGTGCTTCTTAACAATTCCAGTACCATAGACCAGCTTAATTAATTATTGAAAATATTGCAGACCATTAGTAGACATGTCTGTTGTGTCACTCAGTCTATGGACTTGCTATGACAAGGTTATCACAGACCTGAGACCAGTGTTTGAGAGGCACTGCACTAGCAGACATTTGCCCGTAACCCTATAATTGGGGTGGTGACTCATATGGAGTATAAATGCTGGTACAGGCATGCTGGGCTGAATTGCCTGTTTCTGTGCTGTTGCGTTCTATGTAATGCAATTCTATTTTGTTTCCAGAAGTAAAGAAAGTGAAAGTCCTGTAGGAGTCCTGTAGCTCAGTGGTTAAAGCACTCGCTTTGCAAGCGAGAGACCTGAGTTCAATTCCAGGCAGGGCAAAACCTTGGGCAAGTTTCCTTACTCCACACGCAATAATAATCCCTCCAAAAAACAAAAACAATAATAAATTGGTCATTTTCAATCTACGACTGTTTGTGGGACATTGCTGTGCGCAATTGGCTGCCGCGTTCGCCCAGTCAATTCACTTTACAGTGTGTTCTGTGAAAAGCTTTGGGACGTCCTCCCGGCGTGAAAAGCGCTATATCAAATGCAAGGATTATTATTATAAAGATTGAGCTGCAGATATGCAAACCTGAATTACCAATCCTGTTCAGCAGGAGCTCAAATTAGATGGCACATTTAATAAATTTTTCACAGTACATTGTTTTACTTTACAAAGTGGTATCATTTCACACATTAAGAGATGTAAAATTAAACAGCAGAAAGCTTTCAAAGCAAAATATTTTATACGCAGGTACCAGTGACTATACTCAGTTCACTAAGACAATGAAAATATACATCTCATAAAAATAATTCAGAAGTTGTGTAAAAAGTGATCTTTGAAATACCCCCAGCGTTTGTGTTTCGTTGAATCATGTAACATTCAGATCTACAAAACACCTCTGAAAACAAACAACCTTTGGACAGTTTAAATCAATGATTTCAAAGGCTGAATTAATACTCACTAAATACGGTCGAACTATTCTGCCACTTAAACGAAAAACATAAATAAATGTTAAAATGGAAAAAGACATCAAGGAGTCATGTAAGGGTATAATCTTGGACAATTATGAATTGCAACCATAGAGGCATCGTGACTGTTAATATTGCTAAGTTTCACAAACAAACATAGGCTGGAAGAACCATAGGAGAGTAAAGAACCATTCTTCCTTCCACAGCCTTTACTTTGGCTCTCGTCCTCTATTTGTTTTAATCAAAGGAACAACTGAAGACAGTTGTACATATTTATATAATCAAAGGCTTCTATAACCTCTGGGCATCAGTTATAAATACGGTAATGTGACAGTTAAACCAGCTCGCTTTACAGACAGAGTAAATGCACAAGATGAGTTTTGAGCAGAAGGGGAACAAGTCCTCAAAGGCAATTGAAGATTAATATCACAACTCCAACATCCATTACAGCTGCACAACATGATTGGCATATGGTTTCACAATATTATTACACTGATAATTTGTTATATAATGTGTATATATATTATATATAGCCGTGTTGCTACTGAATGCAATGCTATTACATTGAATTCAACGGAAAATGGTTCGTCAAGAATGTATAGGTACAAATTTGTTTCTTATACTGATTTATAGAGAAACTTAGTGCAATTCAAAATCCTCTGTCATGTAATTAAAATACAAAACAGGGAAATACTATCATTACAAGTAGAAAATACAGTCTGGTCCAAGCTAACTTTGGAGAGGATCTTTAACTAATTGTTATTGGACACATTATGCCAATTAACAGACCTGAAATTCCATCTAATCTTAGTCTGTAAAACTATTTGCAAGACTAAATTTTCAATAAGTGCAGATAATAATCTTTGCATTTGGAATTTAGTGTAGTGCCTTTCATGTCAAGAGGCTGGAGCACTTTACAGGAGTTTTCTGTAAAGTCTAGTGGCTGTGCATTTGTAGGTGAATGCGGCAGCCCATTTGTGCACAGCAATGTTCCACAAACAGCAATGTGACCAATGGCAGAGTGACCAATTTTATTTAGGGGACTGTTAGTTAAAACACTGGGAGAAACTTCCTTTTCTTTTCAAATAGTGCCTGTGGGATCTTTAACAGATTTACCCGAACAGGCAGACATGCCATTAGTTTAAAGTCTATCCAAAGGACAGCACCTCCAACAATTCAACACCACCGCAGTGCTGCTTAGACTATGTAAGTTCGAAGTCCTCACATGGGGCTTGAATCCTCAAACTTCTAACTCAGAGGTGAGAGTGCTGCTAACTGAGCCAGGCTGACTCGAATTTAGACTCAAAATTAGGATTAGATTGAAGCATTTTCACCAATTCTGCACTGCCTTTAATTTGAAGACAAAATAATCTTACAGCTACAAAAGGTGGAATTTTCAGACTCACTCTTGGAGACTCTGTAATGTGGGAGAGGAGCAGGTCACATATTTGTATCCAGCCCTTTCCACAATGTGACCTTGATCCATTATTGCTGAAAAGCATGAAGAGCGAGTGGATTTCTTTCCCAACTTCAAATCTCTTTCAGTTAAGAAACATATACAGTCTGAAAAGCAGGCTGTAGGGGGCATTTTGGCATTCATCTGCAAGGTCAGAGTTACGTCTACGCAGCAAGCTTGGTAAGGAGATGCTTGCACATCAGTCTTTCTGCAACTCAGTCGCATGCAGCAACTACAGTGGTGGTTTTTCTTCATTTTGCCTTTTATTTTCAGAACAAGATGTCTTCATTTGCAATCAAGAGCTGCACAATCAGTCTCTGGTACCGCATGTCATTCAAGGTGGCCAGTGTGTCTTGGTCAGCGGGTCGCATTAATGTTGGTCCAAACACTATCCCAAGGTTTTCAGGAGTCATCAAAGTATGTTTTTGATTTAAAGTGATCCTGAGGAAAATTAAATCAGCAGAGTTAGATACTGTAATAATAATCTTTGTATTTGATATAGCGCCTTATCACATCATCAAAATGTCTCAAAGCCCCTCACAGGATTTACTGTAGGGTTCAGTGACTGTGCTTTGTAGATGAGAGGTTCAGTGCTGTATACTTTGTCAGTGCTGCATCTTCCAACACATTGATTCAAATAATGTTCGCACTAACAGACATGCACTTGAATCAAGGGACTCTCCACACACAACAAATTTAATCTGATTTTATATCACCCTATAAAACTCACCAATAGCATCTTACAGTTCATAAAGAATGGAGAAGAAACAATAACATGATTTATTTGGTGCCTTTTCACATTAAAAAAAAAGCACGTTTACGAAATAACGTTAGTTGGAGATGAGGTATTTGTTAATCAGCAAGTACAGCAGCTAATCTGAACCAGCAATGTCCCAAATAACAGTGAGACAAGTAGCCAATTAATTTGAATTGCGGAGGAAATTTGGATGAGGAGGTGATATGAGAAAAATTCTTTGATATAGCAATGTTTGAACAGAGTTGCTTCAAAGTAGAGGGATGACATTTCTGTTGCCAGTCATAGTTCTCTTTAGTTTTGGTCAGGGGCTATAAGTCACTGAAAGCCTCATTCCATTGGAAACAAAAGGACAACAGGACCAAAATAAATGTTGGTCCAATTTTCTGGCAGCATCTTAAAGGATGTACAGTATTGAGCAAGTTCTAATATGCTATGCAAGGCCAAGAGGATGTAAAGGCCCTTCAGGCCAATTGTTCTTCCTTCCATCAGATTTTCATCCCATTACGATAACAATAGTTTACATTAATAAAACATCTTTCACCTCGGAGGACGTCTCAACAGTGCTTCAGTTTCTTAAATGAATCCAGCATTACTAAAATGAGTTCAGTGCCTTTGTCTCAGAAAAAGAATCTCAGAAGAAGTCTTGATCACTCTTCTTGCTAACTCTCTCATTGTAGCTGTTGATTTTACCCTCTGTAAATTTGGTTCAGATTTATATGAAGTCATGAGAATACCTAGTGCACGTGTTACTACAGGTGAGTGAATGGCTGCTTTGTGATGCTGACTCACTGAACACAGAAAAGTGGGACAAGAATGGTTGGTTTCAGACAGATGCAGATTGCACTGGATGATTTAACTGCATTAACAGATTTTAATTCACACCTAAACAATTAATTTTGAGGTGGATAGCACAAGCTCTGCTCGTCAAACAGCTGGTTGTAGATTCAAGTCCCAAGGTTGCTGTCACTCGCGATAGCCTAAGTAAAGTCAGGAACATGTTTTGTCAGCTCCCAATTTTCACCCCGTGGGGATACAATTCTGTTGTCAGCTTGCTGCCTTGTACATATCTCCTGCAGTGGCACTAGTCACAGAGACATCGAGCACAGACAGTTCTGTCCTTGCGATTCTACAGAGTGTGGAAACTCAAGATAAACATGAATTCACATATACTTCAAATAAATGGCTTAACTATTTTAGTTGGTGCCACTGAAAATGACTGAATTCTACAAGGAAACATGCAATTTCATGACAATTGTAAAAAAAACTTCACTCCCATGAACATGCACTTAAGTACTGAATTAGAACACTTCATTGCTTGAGCACCCTACTGCTACTACGACAAGACAGGCTGATGGGATACAATAAATTGTAATATGGCTACTGCTTCATTTTTGCTGACAGTACTAGAATATAGAGAGAGCAGCAGAGATAGAAGGTGCAGCAAAGATTTGTAGAAGGTATTGAGATTGTCCATACAGTCAAGCAGCCAATGCAAACCGCTTCTGCAATGTAATGTATTGCATATAGGTAAAACTGTGAGGTTTAAATGCATAAAAAGTCAAATGAATTAGAGCAGGGAGACATAGGAAGTATTAAGTATGTTGGGACCTACTTCCGACATGAATGGCGTTATATAAATATAAATTTGTATTGTTTTCACTTTCAATTTCTAAACAATAGAATTCAAAAGTGCCTTGTGATGTAATCCGCAGATGTTTGGACGGGAACCAATAAATGTCACACCGACCCCTGATACTTCAACTCCAGGACAATCTTGGGTTAGGGCCAATGTCTCTTTGTCGATTAATATGGTGTCCTTAGATATCCAAAAGACAATCGATAAAGTACCATACAAGACATTCCTTTGAAATGGAACAGATCACTAATCAACTCACACTCAGTAAGTATTTTTTCATACATCGCTTTTTAAACATTCCTGGACAAAACAATGAAAGATATAGATTTTTTAAGCTAACACCCAGTAATGGAGCTCTGCACCTAAGTACATTGAATGTTTAATTGCAGATGTGGAAAAATTTCTTCGGATCACATCCAATGTGATTAGCATCAGGATATATTGAATCAGGCTTCCTACTCCAAAAGGCTTCACTGATGCAAGCAATGCTACTTCACATCCAGCACGATAAACAATGTACTCATGTAAAGAGCACTTGTGGATCAAATGGCTTTTGTCCCCCTTCCTCAATGTTATTACATTTCTGAATGCAATACCAGTTTGGCAATATCTTATACATCATATACAGTACTTCATATAAATCGTACACTGAAATAAACAATAAGGTGTTAGGCTGGCACAGGTGGTAGCACTCTTGCCTTTAGGGTCAGAGTTAGAAGGTTGTGAGTTCAAGCTCCATGTTGGGAACTTTGAACTTATAGTTTAGGCTGAACACTCCATTGTCATGTTGCAGCAGTGCTCCCTTTGGTGCTGGTGGTGTCTTTTAGATGAGTCTCTAAACCAAAGTATCGTCTGCCTGTTCAGGTGGGTGTTAAAGATCACATGGTACTGTTCAAAAAGGGATGGGAGTTTCCCCCAGTTTCCTGGCCAGCAATTATCTGGATAAATTTATCATCCATCTCCTGGCTGTTTGTGGGACACTGGCTCTGCGCAAATTGTACGCAGTTTTTGCCTACAAATACACAGTTGTTAAACTTAATGATAATTACCTATAAAAATGCTTAGAGGTGTTCTAAAGTTACAAATGCTATATTAAATGAAAGTATTCTTACTAAATTATATTTACTTATGGCCCTGATTTCTTTATGGTGGCAAATTTCCATTTTACAAATATCTCATTTAGGAAAATAATAGTTCAAACCAACGGGTACTTTCATAGTCAACATTGTACTTCACCAATTACCATTTTATAGGGAATATGTAAGCCTCTGGGGGAATTACACCTTGGTCTAGATAAACTCTATTCATATAACATTTCCAACTTGCAGAACTAGGCAAATTATTGAATTCATGAGATACAGTAAATTACAATATGGGAGTAACTTTCTTGTTTTTCTCTGTTGTTTTTGAAAGAACTTTCAGAAAACCAGCTTCAAAACTAAGGCTGTTTTTAAGAATTTGCTTAAGTCTGTACACTCTGAATTGCTATGTTAATAAAGTAAATGTAGGTGCAGTTTCTTTCCCACAATTTCCAAAATTAATTGAGAATTGTATGAAACACAGTAATGAAGGCAAATTGTAAGATACAAAACCACAGGGACAATTCATCTTTGTGGATTAGAGTGGTCCAACAGGTGGCTCCTGCGCTGCCATAGGAGGACATTCACCAGGGAGCAGAACTTGGAACGTTGGAAATGGTCTCGGGTCGGATGTGGCCCATGGACCTTTCTCAAATGGGGAATCTGGCCTGTGGCAGCCAAAAGATTGGACCCCCCCCCACTGCTGTAAATAATCATTTAAGCACTCCGAGACACTGCCCCATGTGAAGGGCACTATATAAGTGCAAATTGTCAATGTCCCACAAAAGCCAGATGACCAATTGATGACCAATTTATCTGGATGATTGTTGGCCAGGAAACTCCCCTCTCTTTTTGAATAGTACCATGAAATCCTTAGCATTGTTAACTATCACTAGTTAAGTGTTTAACCCAAAGTAATGCAATCATAATTAAAATGTTTGAATTTTAGCTGATAATTCAGCGTTTACAACAACTTGCATTTATATAGTGACCTTCACACAGGGTAACATCTCGGGAGTGTTTTGTACATTTAGTCACACGTATGAATCATTACATATATTTGAGAGATATTCTTACTTTTTCAGATGAGCCATTAAGTACCGCAGTGTCTCATAATGTGCAGGAGGCAACAGCAATAACGTTTCATGGATGGCTTCTAGCCTGTCATCTGCATTAGCAATTTCTTCATGAAAAACAAATGAATATGTGTTACTCATAAAAGAAACATATATCAGTTCACAGAAGTTATTTTTTTTCTCTGGCCCAGGAGCAAAGTAATAAATGCTGTCTCACAGTTCAATTCTGATTTGCACCATTTGATTTGCACTCCATTCACAAATCTAGACACCAACTATCGCAACTGACTTCCTTGCCCACAGTGAGCGACAGCAGGAACTGTAAGAACATGAATACTCAGAGACCCTAACAGGAACATGGACCAGGAGGGAACTATTCCACCCCTTGAGCCTGCTCTGCCAGTATATTAGATCATCGTAGCTCTTTTGTTTCCTTATCTTTCTCCATCCTCCTTGATACCCATATTTTCCAAGTGTCCATCACCCTTTAAAACATCCCAATTAATTCAGCCTCCCGGGACATTGCATTCTAGAATCGATGATGAGACGTGTAGCTAGTTTCACTGTGCATACGCTTCTTGTGGATTATAAAATAGGAAATGATGTTAGCAATGTTACGATGACCTGGAATTATGTTTTTAGCACAGGAAGCAGTGAAATGTCCACAATTTGATCATGTTATAACCAAGTTAATGCAATAAAGAAGCAACTTATAATAGGACTGCACTGCATTTCCACTTGGTTCAAAAATACACTATTAAATAGTCTCAAATTGGATTCTTATTGCTATTTGCATTTTGATATGCACTAATCAGAGTTCTGATTAAGAGCACTAAATTTAGAAATAAAAGGAAACATATATTTCACCCATAATTTGGGGTCTATAATTCTGGACAACAAACTTCCAGATTACTTGGTAATATATCTCATGGCTAAAGTCGTTCACTACAAATGATTTTAATCAACTGTGTCGCTCTCTGATATATTTTGATGTGATAAAGTACTTTAAAAAGGCAAGTGCTTTCTGTCAGGAACAGAAGAAGGATTGCTCATTGCTAATAACATGGGTGCAATTGTTTCAAAGTAGTAAGTTGCTACAACCTCTTATTTTATCTTAATATCCATTTCATTAAATAATAAACCAAGCTTTGGTGGCTTTGGTTTGTCTGAGCTAGATACACCTACCCAGAAATCACAATGGCATAGCATCAAAATAAATATTCTGCAACAGCTATAAGCCAGCCGTCTTATCCGTGGTTCAGATGACATCAACAGTTACATATGGTTTCATTGTACATTGAGATTTTGCCATGTTTATCAAGTGACAATTCACACTACTGGGAAAAAACACACCAGCGTTAAAAATTGGGCAGTGTGCGGTACTTAAAAGGATCATAACGAAGGATCACAAGAGGGATAGAGACAAATATTGTAAAAATAATGATTGATTTTATAACAACAACAACTTGCACTTATACAGAGCCTTCCACACAAGGCAGCATCGCAGAGGGCTTAACAGAGCCTGACTCCAAGCCAGGGAGTGAATAGATTTGAACACGAGTATGAGGATCTTGAAGTCGATCTGTTCGGTGATGGGGAGCCTAGCCATAACTGGTGAGATGTGGGTATGAAGTTTGGTCTGGGTCAGTATGCGGGCGGCAGAGTTTTGAATGAGCTGGATTCTTTTGTATAGTGGAGCTAGGGAGACCGGCGAGAAGTGCGTTGGAGTAATCCAGGCGGGAGGTGATAAACACATGGGACAAGGCTTTCGGTTGCATTTGGGGTAAGGTATGGTCAGAGGCGGGCAATGTGGTGGAGGTGGAAGAAGGCAGTCCTGGACAGGGACTGGATGTGGGGGAGGAAGGACAGTTGGGGGTCGAACCAGACGCCTAGGTTGCACACTGGTTCAGTGAGTCTGAGGGAATGAGAGCCCAGGGAGGCTGAGGAGTTTAGATCCACAAGAGTGAAGACGTTGATGGGAACCAAGGAGTATGGCATCCATCTTGTCCATATTCAGCTGCACAAAGTTTACACTCATCCAGGCCCTGATGTCTGCCAGACAAGCTGAGAGAACATCAACGGACCTGGAGTTGGTACTGTAGGTTAGTAGGACTTGAATCATGCGAGTGTGGTCCTACTAAGGTAGATGAGGGAGGAGAGGCGATGGAGGAGTATGGCGTGGTCAGCTGTGGTGAACACAGCAGAGAGATCCAGAAGGATGAGGAGGCAGAGGGAGCCCTGTTCACAAATAGAGAGAATGGCGTTTGTGACTTTGACAAGCGTTGTCTCTGTGCTGTGGGAAGGGCAAAAACCAGACTGCAGGGGCTTGAGGAGGGAGTGGAGGGAGAGGTGTGACCAAAGTTGACCTGCAACATTTCATTCCAGGACTTTGGCAAGGAAGGGTAGGTTGGAGATGGGACGGTAGTGTGAGAGATTAGAGATCAAGGGTGTTTTTTTNGAGGAGGGGTGTGATAACAGCGGTTTTCAGGGGGAGTGGAACAGAACCTGAGGAGAGAAACTGGTTGACCGGAGTTAAGTGACCAGTAACTGAGTGGGGAGGAGGTCAAGGTAGCAGTCATAACATTGACTGAATATCTCCTCTCACTTTACTGAGAATGTAACATGCCACCAGCATTTACATTCAGGAATGCACCTCGCATTGTTTATCCACCATTACCCAGTACACATTTTGTTTAAACCTCTTCTTCACTTGGAATCTAGTTTTGATCTAGAGCAATACTTACTGGCTGCCTCGATGAATTTTGGATATGAATCAAAGGTGATGAGTGGAATCGGTAAATCCCTAAAATACAACTTAAGAGCCCCGGTGATGACATTGATGTCTGGATATGCGTTGGCAGAGATGTCAGCCTTATCACCATCTAGAAAGGCAATAAAAGTAGAGCTGAAAACAGAAAGCATTACCTAAACTAGATCACAATGCAGATTATATCAAGTAGCCAGCTTTTGCCATTCATGACCAAAAATATCATACAAAAGTCTGTAGCTGTAATAGAATATGAGAACATACCTTAAGTAACCTATTTAATAACTGAATTCACAGTTGTGTAGTGAATTTGTGAGAATCAGAATTAATTTTACATTACAACCTCAATAGAACGCAATAGTTGATGTTATAAATTCCTAAGTAGAGCCTAATAACGGGATGTGATCACTGATCAGCGCTTCCTCATCAAACATCACTGATCATATGACTGATACACAAGTATATAGAAAGCTGACATCTTGTGCTAAAAAGTGGCTGATCTTTGAAGTCATTAGGTCACTACCGAGACACTATCCTCCGTGAAGGGCACTAAATAAATGCAGGATGTTGTTGTTGAAGTTACTTCCTGTGTGCTGTGCAGGCATGCAGAAAATGCCCTGCATCACAATGCATAACCTAACCTTCTCAGATGGTGAACTGTTGTGATGAGTAACCAAACCCACCAGCATGAGTAAAATTAGGTTATGCAATGTGTTTTTATATATTTCTCATCTCGGGATCTGGGTGGCGTGGCATGACCAGTTGGCATTTATTGCCCATCCTGGTCGTCCTAAGAAGGTGGTGGTGGTCCTTCTCTTTAAACCACTGCAATAACATTATTCTTAAAACTGGGTGGCTAGAGGCTAGTTCAGGCCATATCCAGTGACCAGAGTCATGTGTAGCCAGATCTTAGAATAGCAAAATTCCTTCTATGAAGGATATTAGTGAAGCATTATAGTTTTTAATAAGAACCATAAATTCCATATCTGCACTAGCATGATTCAAACCCTTTGAAGCTTGATTTGCTTGTCCAGTCCTATTACTACTGTACTCTGGTCCCTGCTTGTGCACTTCAGATGATGTTGCAGATTTATTTTGTGAACTAGTTGTGAAACACTTTTCAAAATATAAACAACCCAAACTCTTAACGGAACATGGGTTACTGGAAGTGTGATTTGTTTTTATTTGGTTTCCTGCTTTCCTTTGGACTACTTACCAAAAATAACAAAAAAATTAATTATCAACACATTTCATTTCAAGTCAAAGTCCATCTCGGGAGCAAAATCCAGCCTGAGGTAACCATGTGTGGGTAGGCTGCCGATAAAACATGAGGCCCATCTCAGTCAAGTGTCAATTTTCCAGTTAAACCAAAGATTAACCTTCAGGTCTAAAAAATAGCAATGATGTTGAGATCAATAGGAAAAACAATGGTTTTCCCAAAATATAGATTCAGAGTTAAATTGTCGTTCATTTATAAACCAAGCTAAAATTAAGCATGTGCTTTCTGTTTCTTTCATTGCTTTCTATTGGTCAACAGGTAGTTGGTCTGACATGCTGCATATTCTCTCCCACAGGAGACCTTGATGAGTTTCGAGCAGGTCTGCGTTTCATAGAAAATCTCAAGCATTACTAGAATTGATGTGTCAAACACACCCAATGTCTACCTTAACAAATGGTATTCTGCTCTCATTGCGTACAATGATCTGGTGCAGAACATGCTGTAAGCAGTGTAATACAAATACTGCACAATACTGACATATGTACATAAAACAAATACTGTTTTATGTACATATGTCAGTGCAAGATGACAAATTGACACCTTCCACAGTACAAATCGCTTTATTCTCAGAGTGATTTTGGAAATTTAAACATACTGTACATCACCTGTCTTTGTTTACAAAATTGAACTCTGTCTCAAAGGGAGTTCTATAAAATGACAAAAGAACCAGAAGGGAGACAATGAGATTTTTTTTATCCAGAGAGTTGTTATATTCTGGAATGCACTACCTGAGAGGTTGGTGGAAGCAGATTTGATAGTAACTTTCAAAAGGTAATTGGATATGTACTTGAAAAGGAAACAATTTCAGGACTATGTGGTAAGAATGGGGGAGTGGGACTAGGTGGATAGCTCTTTCAAAGAGTTGGCACAGGCTGTACTGTAAAATTCTATGATTCTAATATATCCGAAAAGGAAAAATATTTAAAAATGTGGGGAAAAAGCCAGTGGAATGGGACCAAATAGAGAACCAACATGGACACAATGGGCTAAAGAATTTTCTTCTATGCTGAAAATTTCTGTGAGTCTATGGTATTTGTTTGTAGTTCCACTTGCCCTGTAGTTAGTTAAAATTTATTTGGGTCCCATTGTCCCAAAGAAGCATAAAATAATGGATTTTTATCCATTATTTTATGCTTAAGGAAGTAAAAAAAATTCTTGATAAATGGGGAAGGTCTTATCTTTTGGAATAAAGAAAGTCTAAAGACTTAAATACTTTAAATGAAGGCCGAAGATTTTCTTCTCCCACCAAAAAAACATGTAATAATCCTTGCATTTGATATAGCACTTTTCACGTCGGGAGGACGTCCCAAAGCGCTTCACGGAACACACTGTAAAGTGATTTGACTGTATATTTGTGGGCGAACGCGGCAGCCAATTGCGCACAGCAATGTCCCACAAATGTAAGAATTGAAATAAACAGCTTTCCTGGATGACAGGACTGGTTCAAAACCACCTAGGATTTTACAGTAAGGGAGGTCAACCCAACCCTTTGCCAATGTTCTCTGCATTATGTACAAGATAAGGAGATCACTAGTAAGAACAATTGTTCTTTATGCCAGCAAAGAACCTTGTGAAATGTACAAACATAAGGCCACTTTGTGAAAGGTACGGCAATACAATAGATCCTCTTCAACGTCCAGCAAAATTATTTATTCTTCCCATGGAATACACCAAAATAGCTTGCTGTAAGGTACACACCGTGATACAACTGTACAAGGCACTTTGATCAGGTAAAAGTCTATGTGAATAAAGGTTTTAGAAATGCTTTTCAGAGTTTTCTCATGAAATGTTACTCTCTCACACCTGTATATATTAAAGGCCTAAGGTTAAGAAAGTTATAATTTGAAATTATTGTTGATCCTATGAAGAAACTTTCTCCTGATAAGCTCACTGGATAAATACTCTGTCTTTCATTGTACTGAGTCGTAAAGAGCAGGCAGGTCTATGTCGTCAGCTGATCTCAGCCAGGGAAACAGTAAAAACACTCCATTTGGCTTCAGTGTCTCCAGGCTGGAGGAAGAGAGATCAATTATTTCTAAATTGCTATCTAGTGATCAAGAAATTTGAGGTAAAATGCAATATTCTGATCAAATTAACCTGAACCTTCTCATATTCCTCATCTTAAACATAATGACAACTGCAACAATGACTTGCTGTCATATAGCACTCTTCTCTGGGAGTTTCACAACAACGATGTCAGGCACTGAGCAAGTAAGAAGGAGGGGAGAAAGGGGAAGCTAACCATACATACAGTGTTTAGGTGTGACTTAAAGACAGATAGAAAGTGAGTGAGTGGTGAGAATGAGGAGTTCCTAAAACCCCATCAACTTTAAGTTTTGGGTAAAATAGTTAAGCACTGATGAAACAAATCACTTCATGCCATATCTCTGTATCTGTCCAACCTGCTTACACCCAATTCCTCTACCTACCTCCATTACTCAGCTGGCTCCGGCCTCCTGCACATTCATCATCCCCTCCGCTCTGCCATTGGCAGCGGTGCTTTCAACCACTATGCCCTGAGACTCTGGAACCTCTGCCTCAATCCCTCCGCCTTGCCCCCTCCTTGTCCATCATCAGATCACACTTGAAGACCTTCCTCTTCAACCGTGTCTATTGTCACCTCCCCCCTTTCCCTGGCTCAGGGTCAAACTCTTGTCACTGTTAAGCAATCTGAGAGGCTACCCTACATAAAGGGAGTTATATAAATGCAAGTTGTTGTGGTTGGTCGTATTTGGGCTGAATGGTCTCCTTCGGTGCTGTAAGATTCTATGATTCATGATCGCCCTGAATAACCTTCTCTTGAGCCTCTTCCTCTGCCTGATAGGTGGACAAGCCAACACAAGAAATAAGCAGCTTCAATCACCTTATGGTGTTTGCCTCAGTGCTCTGTGGGCCGATCTACCCGAATGCCTGAGAGACAGGAAATGGAAACGTTTATTTTAAAGTTCCTGCATAACCAGTTTCTTCATTGGCTCAGATGCTCAAAGCTAAACTGAGCCTGTACAATACACAATTACATTTGTATAGCGCCTTTCATGTCAGGAGGATGTCCCAAGGCGCTGGGTGCTCTAGGACCAAGAAGGACTGAGCTGGAGAAGATAAAAATCAACAAAGTTTCCCACGCTTTACTGCTAGCCAGTGAACCTTGCTGCAAAACACGTGCACGTGGACTTTGACTGAGGGGAAGGTCACACTTGGTGGCCGGGCTCCCACAGTCAAATAGCCTGACACTCTCTGAGATGCTCCATCATGAAGAAAAGGCAAATCACTTGGTCAAGGTATGGATGGAGTCCAGCCAGTGGAGGTTGAACAACTTCCCTGCAAAAGTCATCACGTCAAGAGAGAAGGCTGGAGGAGGATTGGAAACAAAACAAAGCACAACTGAAACATGTGGGAAAACACTGCAAGTTTTAAGACCTGTTTTACTTAAAAGGCAAAATGAAATAGTCCAACTGACAACCATATACACACAAAATAATTAATATCTGACTGGAGTAATCAACAGCCACCCACAGTCACAGAACCCAAAGCAGAGGCATGGCTCGCTCACACCCCATAGCTGTTTTGGGGTATTTTGCTATGGTACAAAGTAGAACCCACATCAGTCACTACCGCTGTACCAGTAAAACCCAGTAATTCCTGATTCCACTCCACCCTTACTCCAGGAAACTAAAAATAGTGTCTATTTCACTTCATTTGACTTTAAATGTGGTTTCAGTTTTGTCTAGTAGACTCACTAATGAAGAGCACATTAATATGTTAATAGGAAATATGTGTTCCTTTTCCATGTGCTGGATCCTGTGTATGGCTGGATTTCTGTTAAATATACATTGTGG